GAGCCGTCATTTGATGTCTTTTCGTTGTTAGGCCCACCTAAGATAGAGCCCACAGCCAAGGAGGAAGTAGAGGAAGAAGTGTATGCCGATCCCTCAACCTCCCCTGTAGGCCTACCCCCACTGCATACTCATAATCATCCAACGCAGTTCGAATCATTGGCCACCGATCCGGTCTTTGACGAGGCTGAGGTTGACTTTGGAGACGAAGAGCCAGGCGACGACCCTGACGATCAGGTGGAGCCCGCTCCCAAAGAAGAGCAGCAGGAAGGGGACGAGGCTGACGACGAAACCGCGCCTAGCGCGGAGACATCACAAACAGCTTCCGCAGCCGTTGACCCTCAGCCGAAGCGTACGCGAGGCGCGAGGGGAGGCCAAAAACACCAGTTCGAACAGTCCGACAAGAAGTACGCTCTCACATGTGATCTTATCGCAAGTCACCTGGCGTCGCATACTTACCGTCGGGTTCGTAAAACATACCATCTACCATTCGTGAAACCGCTGATTGCGCGGAGAGACTACTCCGAATGGTATAAGTATGTGGTGTTCCATGCTGATGCATGGGCCGAGTCCCCTGAAGACGGAGACATTTCCGACGGGGCACTCAAAGCCTGGGCGGCCATCATACCAGAATTCTGGTCATGGTGTACTCGTCACATGCCGGACATCTCAAACGGTGTGAAGCAACCTACATACCGTTTTCCGCCCGGGTATTACCAAAAGACATACAAGTTCATCCCGCTCCGCCAGGTCCACTCCTCGACGGCGACCTCATCGCAGGCAGCTCCGGCTGCCCAACAAACCTTCCCCGTGACCGTCCCGGCGCGCACTTTTCAGCCCGTAGTGGGCGCAAGCGCGGCCAGCCAGTCGGGAGGTTGGAGACCGCAGTTGAGACCTGTCGATCACCCTGTGCAACCCCGATCCCAAACTCCCCAAGGAACTCCAAGATCTAGGTCTCAGACCCGGACCTCAGAGCCAGTTCGACCTCCTCGACCAACCAGGCCGTGCCCCAGGCCTAATCGTGAAACCGCTGAGCTTCTCGCGGACACGGAGCAGCCGACACGCACGGTCCATCTTGCCGACGAACAGGCAGATGATCCTATGGATGGTGTTGGAACCGAGGAGGGAGCACCCGCTCCAGAGGCTGAAGTAGATCCAGGATACCCAGAAGGAGCGGAGGAGGAGGGCACAGTCCGACAGGACGGACGAGGCGGAACCGCGCTTGCGCGGGAGGAAGAGGAAGCTTTCGAGCCAGATCCCGTGGTCGAAGTCGAAGGTGAAGATCTAGAGGCAGTTCGCACCCGCGCCGCTAACACGATAACTCGAGCCGTAAGGTCCGGTCGACTAGGTCGTGCACTTGCAGCCGCAACTCCTCCTAATCCACCACCGTTAGACCCCGAGTATCCGAATATTCCTCATAGGCCACAGACCTTGCCACCTCACGTTAAGGTTCGAAGGCCACCTCCACCGAAGGCAAGCAATCGGAGTCTACCCGTGTCCGCGCAGCCTCCTGCAGCCGACGCTCCGATTCCGGAGCCTAATCAGCCGAGGGTGGCACCGCAACCGCGTCAGCGCGGATTCGTCAGACTCCAACACGCTGCCCGCGAGCCGCCGGCGCAGCCCATTCCGATGGACACAGCTCGTGACACGGTCTATGATTTGCCTGACCACGTATGGCGAACTCGCCCAACGAGGGAACCCGGCGGTCTGACAGTGCCACATTCAGAGCTACTGGTGCACCCAAACACTGAGGTACACGCCATGGACGTGGACGACGAAGAAAGTCCACCTCCTCCAGCGGCCAAACCTCGAGCAACCGCCCCTTGGCGGCGAGCACCAACATACGCCCTAGAGGCCGAGGAGGCACCTGAAGCACCGGCCCCGAAGCCGCGTACCTCGGTAAATCCTCCACCACCGAAGCGCTCCCGTGTTGTCTTTGCAACGACGTCACGGGTTGTGCTGAGGCCTGGTCCCGGCGCTCCGGAAGAAACCGCGCCCAGCGCGGAACCATCTTTTGCGGAGCATACGCGGGGTACCGTCCCTCTGGTTGCCCAAAGAATAGTAACTGGACATAGTTCAGGTGAACCTCCAGCGCAATCCCCTTCGAGGACGTCGGTAACCGTAACGCCACTTGTGGACCCAATGCATCGTACCCCAAATCGCAACTGGGCCGATCAGTCGGCCGACGACGATTTGGACGATGCACACACAGACTCCGGGGCGGCACCATCCGGCTCTTCGAGATCTAGGACACCGCCACCAAAGCCCCTGGTAGTCAAGCCACCGCCACAATGCATTCGTGAGGATCCGTCTCAACGTAAACCACAGTATGTTGAGTCAGGGCGGGTTGAAGAGTTCCTCCCTCACGGATTCTTCACAACACCTCCGCCCGGACCTCCCAAGCCTCCACCACCGCCACCACCGGCTCAGGTACCGAAACCTAAGCCGATGCCTGAGCGACCACCGCGGTCTTCGAGCCCTGCTCCCGCAAACGTCGCACAGGATGCAGCAGGCAGAGGCAGAGGTCACGGGTACCCGGCACCTCCTGCACCTTCCGCAACCGCGCCTCGCGCGGAGGAAGATCCTGCAGAAGCTGAACCAAAAGGCGGTACATTAGCGCCCCCAACTTTTGGAGACCCTCCGCCTCCAAACCCGCCACAGCAGGACGATGATATGCCACTCCCTCGCAATCGTTACCTCGAACTGTGGCAGGAAGCGCATCACGTCTTCGGTCAACAAATGTGTGACCCTATGACCCTAACTTTACCCGGTCAAGCTCATAACATCGAGGTTGGTCTAGACTTCCATAAGGTTCTAGATGCAATGTTGGTATATAAGCTTGAAGTCCCCACACGACAGTGTGTTGATGCTCTTGCCAATCTCGAGCGCCTCGGCGCAAGAATAACCATCATATCCTTCACCGGACATGAGGGTTACGCAAGAGCGGCCTCACAAACCGCGCACTTTCGTGACTGCGTTCGCGCAGCTGGACTCCAGATGGGAGGGGGAATATTTCTTACCAACTCCCGAGTCGGGCCGGAAGGCAAAACTCCGATCGTCACTCGATTGGGGATTTGCGCGTACGTCGACGACGATTCCGAGATCATCAATGAGGTACGCCGCACTGGCTGCTACGGCTACCTCTGCGACGCTACGCGTCTTAACCAGCCCCATTCGGTTTTGCTAGACTTAGCTAATATGATCCGCTCTTCCGGAATTCACAACTGGAAGATTGCGCATCATCCTCGACCTTTGGCGTCCGACGAATTTTCAGGCGAATCTAACCCACGGGGAGGAGGACGCCGACGACCCAAAGCTCGATAGGGCCCTACATGCCAGTAACCGCTGCTTTGCGCGGTCACTTTTCGTTCGTAGGACCATTAGCTAGGTTGAGTGCAGTGAAACTTCAATCTCAATACCGAAGCAATTCTAGTTGAACTTTAGGTCATGCATTCAATTTTCTTTCAGTGCACTCGTTCTTCACCACGCAACAGCTGCCACAAGGCGCTGGAGTGGTCTGGACTCCTCGTGTAGCGCGAAAATAACTGCACCTGCAGTTGGGTGGGAACCATGGCGAACCATACAGGGTTTTCCCCGCCTGATGATCCCCCAGGTGAACGGTCTAGGTCCTCCCCTGAAGAGGTCCCCGTAAGTCGTGGTAGAGGTCCTTCATCCAGCACCACGGCACACGCAATGTCCGTCGTCACTCGCCTGAGGGGTTCGTCGCTCGCTGCACCACCGGTCACGCGTCCCAGGACTACGACCACGATGGAGTCTTCACCGTCCACTCCAGAGCAGAGGCCAGCCACTCGTCGAAGACGTTCCGGGTCAGGGAGAGCGTTAGAGGGTATTCGTGAACCTAGTAACGAACAACCCCCCATACAGTGGATAGATCCCCAAACCGGTCGCCCGCTACATAGGACCCCTAGTCCTCCTAACCGTAGTAGGCATACCACACAAAGGGACCCGAACCGAGACATGCCGGCCGCTGCTTTCGTTGCTGGTGCTGCCGTTCAAAATGCACATAATGCATCCCTAATTGCTCAACAAGCGGCTACCGTTGCCGAGCAGCAAACACTTGAGGCCAACCAGGCCAGGCACTATGCATCGTTTGTTGAAGCTCAAGCAACACAAGCGCTACAACAAGCAGAAGCCACCTTACTAGAAACTAGGGCTAAAGCTGAAGCTTATGTAGCACAAGCCGAAGCTAATGTTCGTAATACACAGCAACAAGCACAAGCTTTTGCCGCCTCCGTTGACCAGGAGAGAGAACAGTTTCAAGCCCAGTTGAACTCTAGAGCCCAGCAATGGGCCAGGGGGGTTGAAGCTGATGCAAGACTTCGCGTCCAACGACTTCAACACCAAACTGAGCAATACATGTCAGCTCAACAGGATACAGTCCGTAACTTACAACAGCATAATGCCGTGTTAGAACAACAACTGATGGCGGAACGTTCACCGGTGCCTAATTCACCTAAGTCACCGATGACCCAAATCCTGACCGGAAGCCAATTGTCTACGCCTGTAATGGCCTACGGCAAAG